TTTTATTTTATTTATAGTGGTAATCAGAATCGCTTTGGAGTGCACTTTATCGGATTCACTTAATATTCAAAATATTCTAATGAAACATTTCAATAAGATTTATTGCGAATAAATCAGTTTGAGATTTGCTTACCATGAAAATACTTTTTATACCGCATCGTTGACTCCCTGACGGATTCCTCTTACTTACTTTGTCTATAGAGAATTGATTAATTTCATGATATTTTGTCTCTAAATAAAATACGCGATTAAATTTATATACATATTCATCGATATTAATTTAAGACGTACCTACACCTACATAATGATATTATTCAGACTAATGTGGTTCTTAAAATATTTAATACTATGTAAACGATATAATAATAGTTAAAAATTACCTAGTTTAGATGATTAAAAATTATTGGTTTTGTCAAATATTTAAATAATATAGGTAAATATAATAAATACATATTATTATTAACTATGACGAATGGTGGTATTTTTATTGTCATTCCAAAAAAAAAAAAAAAAAAATAGAAAGAGAATTAATAACTATTGAATGTAGCAAATGAGATTATTCGACTATATCATATGATATTATCTTGAATGGTTCAAGTGCTGCAGTAAAAAAATTAGCTTCAAGAAACATGAATCTGCCATATGAACGAACTTTTGCACGGCCAGCAACTCTCAAGAGAACAAGTGGTCAGATAGCCTCTCCAATAAATATACATAAATATGTATATACTATTTATTGTATAAATAGCTAGGGTGATTTACTTTTAACAGAAAATACTCATTATTTCACAATGTGTTTAAAATTGTTATTAAACTTTTTTGTATGTATAATATAGATATGTAGTAATATACTCAAAAAAAAAATAGTACTTTGGAGTTTGAATACGAAATTATAAATTGTGTCGTTCAAAAGAGTAAAATAATATATTATAAAAATATAAAAAGTAACAAAACAGTTTAATAGTTTTTGTTTAATTAAAAATTCTCATTGAGAAAAATGATTAAAATAAGTCAATCCTTTATGAGATGATAAGTATTAACTGTTATAATATTATATGAATCACGCTGTATACAATATACAATATACATACAATTATATTGTATTATACATAATATAGGTACATATTATATAAAATCCATTCAAAACAAAAAATCAATTATTAAGTGGTCTTAAGGCCTCATATTATATACTACCTATATACATATGTATGTGTGTGTGTGTTTGTGTGTTTTATATACTTTTTTTATGTATATACTCTGTGACTATGTGAGTACCTACCACCGTTATTGGACACACCAAGCTCACCCTTGAACATGTAAGTTTTTTTCCTTATATTATACCTATATCGCCATTAACAACATATATTATTACATGATACATATTACATACTTATATATGTATATTTTTTTTACATACTTCACTCGATAAGAATATATTATTCACACCTTGCTTGTCACGCATCGAAGCAAATTATGACTAAAATTCTCTTATAGCCGTAGTTTTCCACATTATATTAAACGGCGTTTTGTTGTTTTCTGTATACATATTATTTTGTTTGTTCGCAAGAATTTCAATACTGTTTATAAATCATTTTTAGCGGCATCGCTATGGCGGATGGACCAAGAATATAATATTATTATAATAATGTTGTGTCTTTTAAAATCGATATTATATAGTTACACATTTTAAACTTGACAGCGATGGTATTGAATTATTTTATTACTCATAAACTGATATTATAATATTATTACATCACACATTTTCAGAATCATTTATGAGAACGATACGGCAATGTTATTTTAAACGACCAGTCGTGCTTGGTATACATTTGTAGGTACCATATATTTTGTGCACTTGTCATTATCATGGCGTTTCGCACGGAGATTTGTCGGAAACGTAAAAAAATATTATATTTTAATTTAACTTGGTTACTTTGAAATTTATGTAACGATTCATATCCATATCATTACCTATATTCTTGTAATGCGATATTGAAAAAAAAAAATCGCTTGAAACGTTGAATAAAAAAACAAAAAAATTCAATTTCATAATCAGACTTTTCCACAGAAATACGGCAATTCGCTTTTTAAATAATTGACTATAGTCATGGTTTGCTTAACTCCGTTATGCAACCATTCTTTGTACTATTTTTCAGCTTTTCGTCGTGTGCTTGACATGTAATGTTTTTTTTTTCTCATATACATATAACTAATACATACAACTTTTTTATTCATCATCTTGCAGCTTGTTATTCAACTACATACCTCTTATTATTATTATTATTATTATTATTATTATTATTATTATTATTACTACAACGTATATTATTATTAAAACACAGACATTCACCATTGTGATTGTCTTACACATATTATATCTACACGATTTAGTTGGGTAAACATTTAGTACCTATACTATATGATACGTTTACCTAATTATAAAATTAGGCCTTGTCATTACACTTATATTATAATAATATATTGGTTTAAGAACAAAAATGTTTGTAACATAATCCCGTGTTGTGTTGTTGATTGTATCCTCGCAATTGCAATATTATTATTATCATTATTATTATTATACTATTATTATTATTATTATTATTATTATTATCATTATTATTATTATGAATATTAGGTATCTTTCGAAATCATCGGAAGATTGTTTTATATTTTGTTTGTTTTTGATTTAATACATTACACGTAATCCATGTAACACCCCACATAATAGTGTCCGCCGCATTCTTATCCTAAACCCCGACAGCCTTTGAATATACCTACCTATTTTTCTTATACCTATACAACGTAGGTATAATAATATGTTTTATACATATACATATCTACACATACAGCTGATTACAAACTTGTAAATCTGATACATAGTTGAACTCACTTAGTTTATGGACTACAAGTTTAGTATTGTAACGTACGGTCAATTATACATATTATATTACATTAACGTATATTATTGTTATGATCATACAAGTTTCGACTATCGTCAAGCTATTTGGAAATTTTTTTTTTATTCTAGCTTTAAGCATGCGTGCTTCTTCATTTATTTTATTGGGTACATAGTCCTGTATATACAATTTTTTTAATCTATAATAACCATAATTTATTAATGAATTAATATACGAATCGTAGAAAATATATACCATTAGGTACATATTAATTATTATTATAATATGTTTTATCGATCACCACCTAATTATTGTAGAGAACATTTAGTACATTGTGTTTTTCACAGTATAGCCAAACAAAAATTTATTTCATTTTTGAATTTTTGCATGAAACAATACTTTGCCAACGTTTGATTAAAAAACAAAAATTATAATCAAACTTTTTTTTCATCATAGTATTATTGTCTTGCGGATTTTTCTTTTTAATCAAACAGCTACCTTTATATTATATTTTTTTTATATTATAACCTTTGCCATTCTATTTCAGTGCACGTAATCGAATCATACCTTTATAATAATCGTACATACAATTCTTAAAATTGTATTTATCACGTTTTCGTGTTTTAAAATGGCCCGATTTTCTAGACGGCTGGCATGGCTCAGCCCATCCCCGAAGATTCCATTCGAGAAAGGAACATCATTGGCGGTATTCAGATGCAAGTCTGGTACAGGGACGGCAAAAATGAATTGTCCATATCTGTCTTGGCAGCCAACGGCTTGCAGATGAGAAACGACGCTGATTATGGTTCACTACCCGAAGCATATTTGCAGATAAAACTTCTTCCATTCACGTAAATAACAATAATAATATATTATAGTATCATAATTTCTAAAACGTTCCAACCGATAATCCCCAAATCGTGACTATAAATCGAACGAAAGAAAAACCACACAAAACTACATAATAAATTTTAACAATAAAATATAATCGACGCATTCGTCAGAAGACACCCAAATATTAAAATCGATAAATGTAGTTTTACGCACTGTATAATAGATAAATTATTATTGTCTGAAAAAAAATTATAAATTAAAAAACCAAATTTTTCCACTAGTTTATGTTGTTACTCTTCGTCTTAACTGTTCGATAAAAAAGTGAAAGGTGCAATTCGAAATATTAAAAGTGGAAGGAAAATGAAAATGAAAATATTATAAACATAAATACTATAATTACTAATAAAACAACCATAATATGAAAATCAAAAATGTATTTTAATTAGAATGGTAGACGCCTACGGGGAATCGAATAAAACCATCCATCAAAATTCAATAAAAAACTAATTTAAAAATGAAATTTATGTAAAAGTGCTTTTTAAATATTTGAAGCCATTAAAATATGAATACGTATACTCCCGGCGTTATAATATTGTGTGTTAAAAGTTTGAAAACACGCAAATGATTTTGACGAAAAATAATATTTTTACTTGGTATTTTTTATAAATGAACATTGTATATTATTGTATACATAATACATGTATTATATATATATATTTAGGTGTGTTCATACATCGTATGAATACTGAATTAGTATTTTCATTTAATTTTATAATTTTTACGCTTTTGATTTTTCTTTACGTTTCATATTTGAAAGTACCTTTCTACAATTTTTTTTTAATGGTTTTGAATGTGGCTTTCTAATAAATAAGTTAATTACATTTAAAAATAAAAAGTTTTGAAGCTATTAAGCCTTCTTTTTGATAGTCTGAATATAGTTGTAACAATTCATAATTAATTGTATAATTAGTGCAACTTAAAATTAATATTTAAACTAAGTAAAAATTTTTGAATATTTAATAATTAACTACCAAGCCAACAGCTACAACATTATCACTGTAATACTATTTACAATATTTCTAGATATTTTCGTAAATTGTAAATGTATACCAATACTTATACCTAACTATATTTCTAAATTTAAAATTATCACAAATAATTATGTCTTTAATTAATAAACATTTTTAAGTAATAATTTTATAATTTTTAAAACTAATTGAACTATAAAAATAATTATAAACTACATTTGAAAAAATATTTTATGTTTTTGTATATTATTTCTATTCACTTCCTTTTTCATATTTTAATATACTTGATTAATTTTTTAGGGATCCAGTATAATTCCGACTGAAATATAAAATAATTTTACAGATATTTAAATTAAGATGTTCATAATTATTTTTGAAGAGGAATACAGTACAATAACCCTGCAACGCACATTAAAATATTAAATAATCGGAAGTGTGCATTCATTACTTGGTTAATTTTTCAATTTAATATTCCTACTTATCTTTTTGTTTACCATCTTAATCACATAAACATATTTTTAGTTTTTACCCAAAGAAACTCCAAATCCCGTTTATTTTATTTTCTATTATGTAAATTAAACTTTTTATTTTGGTTTGCATTACGAAATCTATTGTTTTATTTTATATTCAAACCATAAAAGTACATAATTTGAGAGTTTAATTAACCAGTTGAAATTTTCCACCACAATCAAATACATTATAAATAGTATATTATACTATTTTCGTTGCATATGAAATAGTATAACATAAGTTTGGTCATAAGGTTTAACCACTATAATTAGATCTATCACGAATAATTTACCTTGATTAGATATAGATCTCTATTAAGACTAAAACAAAATTGTTTTATTTAGGAAACATTATTCAAACTTGAAATTAATAGTTGCTAATTAAATTTTCTATGCATTACCTATGTTCATTGTTCCATGATACTTTTAACCCCACAATGGAATGATATGGTATCAATAAACGTCCATAGCATAATACATATGTTGTTATTCTAGAAATTATATAAATAAGACTTTCCGTATAATTTACTTGTGATAGTATGCATATCATTTTTAATAACTTTCGAAAGTTGTATGTTATATTTATAGCACATATCATATTAATACAGAACTATTATGTAAAAATGTTTATTTCATTTGCGTTCTAGCGTGGAGACAAATATTGTAAGGACCGAAGTCGCAGAACCCGTCACTGATCCTATATGGAATACCACACTTGAAATGCCAAATGTTCGTTCTGAGACACTAATCGAAAAGCAAATGGAAGTCATACTTTACGATTAACAGACCAGACAAGAGGACGTAATATTGGGTAACTTATATGAATAACAAATATTAAGCCCACTTAAACAAAAAAAAAACTAATTTTCTGTTTATCTGACTTATTTGTTATCATTACAGGTGATTTGTAGTAAAATTTACAAAACGCACTTTTAGACAACGCAATGATATGGTATGAATTGGAGTCACCGAATCATAGCAAAGCCTCTAAATCACCTAGAAGTTCAATTTCCGAAACTGGAAAAGGAGGATTACGGGGTCAAATCCGTTCAGTATCTGGTATACATATTAAATTATGTCGATCATCATTTTATCTACCTATCCTAACATTATACTACAACCACATGAATTGCAGAAGAACGTGAGCTCGATGGATTTTTGCATCCTGATCACGCTTACATGGCGAACTCCCGCCGAGGGTCGAGCCAGTCGGAACAGTTGGACGTTGAACCGTATCAGTTGAACAAGGATTTCTCTCGGTCGTTGCCCGGATCTCGTCGCAGTTCGTTCCAATCAATACAAAAAAACACCGAAAAAGGTAAGTTATAGTTTCATCGTGTTTGCGCTCAGCTTACCCGCTTTTGATATCACGCAGATCCTGAGGCTAACGACCACTCCCTACAGCGAACAGGAGTCGACGCAGGAGTTCGTGCACCCCCGGCAGATCCAGACGAGAGCCTCAAAAATTTGAAAAGCCGTAAACGGAGAGTTACTCGGGTCGAACAATGAGCATTTGTGGTGATAAGAGAGGAATGCGAAGTAATTGCTTTATTTATAGCTGTGCCTGTTATATTAAAATAATACATTTAGATAGCATATCCAATATATTGGTTTAGTACGAGAAAATGGCACATTGTATTTTTGTTTTAGGGGGTAGCCTGTGTATGCGACCATACAAAGAGTCTGTTATGGAAAAACCCGAACCAACGTCCAAATACGAAGACGAACCAGTTGGGTGAGTACAATATACAAAATGTAGATGTATATTAAACGGCATATGGTTATAAAATACTTTTGTATTTGAATTTCAGTGACCCCATTCGATTGGGTCCGGGCCAAATTATGCCACGTGGATATGGCATAAGTTTCATGTAAGTTTTGCAAATGAGTGATGTTGTACCTATTATACTAATGAATTAAATATGAATAATGATTAACGGTGTTAATATAGGTTGTCATATTGAACTTAAACTAGGATTACTAATGACCAAAGGTCAGCTTGAAGTTGACGTTGTGTGCGCTCGAGGAATTAGAGCCGAAGATTCACCACCAGGTAAATATGATAATAATGTTATTAGGTTTATTCGCGTGGACCCTTTTACTCAAAAATTGACTTGCTCCTTTCAGCCAAGCATTTTAAAATGGTTTTCCGTTTTCACTCAAGAATATTATCACCCTTTTTAATTCACGCTTTCATAATCAATACTTCAGGGAACACTTACTTTACATTTTTTATTTTGTATAAATTAATTTTATAAAACCATTTGGGTTTACTCAGAGAGTAGGTACCCCAAAGAGGTTACTCTCTAAAAAGTTTTTATGTTTTTGCTATTTAAAAAAAATGTTATAAGTACATTTTTAAATTTCTATCAGTTGATATTTGTTAAATATCTGAATTAGTAGGTACATTATCACTTAATTTAGAATAATTAAACCACATGTATTTAATAATAGAATAGCTATTAATTTTTCCTTTGGTATATTGTTAGATTTTTCCTAATTTCTTCCTAAAACGTTTTAGTCTTTAATATTTAGGTACTGTGAAAAGAGCCAAATAATTTATAAATAATAAATAAGCCTTTTATTTATTGGTAGTGTGCCAAAATATAAGACATTACATTGGACACAGTCTATAATAAACCCACGAGTATTACAAACATAGAATAATAGAAGACGGTGCGTAACATTCCGCGTAGTATTCAAACAATTCTAAAGTTAATGTTAAACGACTTCATAAACCTAATAATTTAAAGAAAGTGTTTCCCAAAGTCTTGATAACGGAATCGTGAAAAAAAAGGTTAAAATGTGCATAAAGTGAAAACAATTTTAAGTCGAAAAGAACGTAGGTGAAAAGTGAAAGGTCATTTTTGTGCGAAAATAAACCCACTACATTCTCGTACCATTCGACGCAATCCCTTATATTACGTATTATATTGACTAGCTCAGCGGTTCTCAGACTTTTTTGTTCACGGGACCCTTAAGAGGATGCATTTGTTGTCTCCGTCTTACACACGTACCTACGACATGGTAGATTTTCGTTCACCAGTTTCAATAGTGTGCTGTTATTAGTTTTGATATTAAAGTGATTTGACCTATTATCAATTTTTTAGATAATAACATTATCTGTGCTTCAGCGTTAGCTTTTATTCGATATTTTGATTTTCAAGCGATATATGAGCATTATTAATTTTTTATATTTCACATACCCATATCTTGCTTGGAAATAAATATTTTGAAAAATCGGCAAAGCCCAAGCACAAATAATGTTCTTACTTAAAAATGTTATTATAGGTCAAATCACTCTAGTATCAAAACTAACAGCACACTATTGAAGCTAGTGAACGACAATTTGCTATGTCCTGCGTGTGTAAGACGGAGACAACAAATGTATGGGTAGCGTTCTCTTAAGTTGCTATTAGATATGTAAGGCATCTTAGGCATCCCAAAAACCAGAAATATCACTTTCAAAAAAAAAAAAAATTAGAAATCATGATGATCATTACAATGCAACCAATGATATTGAATTTGGATGTGTCCATATGGATCCCATGGAACGGTTTATGATAAGAATTTAATGGGTAAAACACACATGAAAACAATAACATAAATTCAAAACAATATCATGTCTGTGTAAGACTAGGTTCACATTTAACTCCATTAAAGTCTATATAGTATACTGTGTTCATTAGAGGTAGGTATTCAACTATATAATACACACGTGGTAATAACTAATAATAATAAATTGTAAAAGCATTTCCCTTGTGGGCGTGACTACGTAAAGAACAACAACAAAATAGGTACGCTAAAAGCAAACGCGGGTGCATTTATATATACACAGCAGTACACTAAAATCACACTTAGAAGTTTTAAAATTTAAATTTTCACTTAATTATTCAACGTATTTTAAGAACACCGCCATCGTAATATGTACGTAAATCGCAAGTGTGTACTGAGCAAACTCGTTCAGCTATGAGAAAGGTATATGCCAGTTTATTAGACGGACTCGTTTCAATTGAGTAGATAGTCGTTTTAAGCACAAAAGCTATGCGTTCGGAAGACAATGTGAAATACCCTTGCTAGAAAATCGGTCGTATTTGGGTTTAAAACATTATAGTGCTGATACAGGATATTGTTTGGGTGAATGTGTCATATTTATTTCTGTGATATTATATACTTGGAAAGCAATGATAAATGATTGTGGAGTACAAAAATGAATCACAATGGTTAAAACCACGCTGTCCGAAGTTTCTTCATTTTTTCAACACTTTTGTGTGGTTTTTACTTGTGCTGGAAAACCCGAAAAATGAACTATTCAAATAAACATTCACGAAAATTGTTGACTTAATACCATAAAATAAGCGACCATAGAAAAAATATACAGTTTAAATTATATCTTTTAGAAACAGTGACGTATTGGTTACTTCTTACTTCTATTATATACTAAAACAATATTTTTCCACATTTTCTTTACGATAAAGCAATACAATTAGAAATTATATCTTTTAATACTTTAATATTGAGAACAAATAATGAAGTCTGAAAAGTTTTACCAAAGCTTTAATTGCTTTTAATTTCAAAATATCTAAAAATAATAAACATTATGCTATTTTGAATTTATCATCTATTATTTTCTACTTTCAAAAATCTATTTTTATTTATAAAATCAGAGAACACTAAGTATTTGAAAAAAATATTTTCAGAGTATAAAATGTAATTTATACATAATCATAAAAATGAAAACTCCTGTCTTTTTTTCTAACTTTTTCTAACTCTGCCTTTTAAACATACAACATAACAAATTTGTGTTCAGCCGAGCCAACTGTACCTATGTAGTAAACATTAATAATAGAGTGAATTTACCTCTAACTTATAGACAAGAATTTTATCTGGGTTTTGTTGTGGTATTTTTACTATGTTTTTATTTCAAAGAAAATTATTATGTGAAATTGTGAAACATTATAATTTAAAAATGATTAAGACTAACTTAAAATTTAAATATCATATAAATCCCACGAGAAATCATGGATAATAATATTATCTATGATTTCTTAAAGGCACCATATTATGGTACTTTTAAGTTGGATAAAAGATCAATTCTCTCTCTAATATTAATGCGTTAAAAAAAATAGAACAACTGAACACAAATTTACTATATTATATACTTCTGTAAGATAGAGACAACTACACATAACATTTTCTTAAATATACTGTTATAACTTCATAAATAAAACAATTATTAAATATTTAAATTATAACATTGCATAAAAGTATTTAAAATAATTAATAAATTAAGTTCTTTGAAAACGATTCAAATATATACTAAGCTAAGAATACTGAATTTCGTTAGACAAACATTTTAAGTTTGATTTTAACTATGTTTTAGATAAAACAAAATTAATTTTTAAAAATAATATCTTACAAGAACTTTTTTTTAGTAAGTAATACATACATTTTGTATTGTTACAATATTGGCTTTGCTTACGATACATTATTATAAATACGTATAATATGGTATTGTAGACGTGAATAGAGGCCAGATGTTCATACGTTATATTTATAAATATTATGATATAATAATATTGTTGGTGTTCTTTCTGGCTGTCTATATCGTTATTATTGTTTAATAATTAATTTAATCGTCGTACTTACCTGTTATCGATAACGAAAACAGCACCAACTAGTTCATACACCTATTACGTTTTATTTTACCCTAACTACCTAATTCCATTGTACACAATATTACTGAACAATCATCGGAAATTTATAAAATATTGGCTCATCTTATTTATTGGGTTACCTGGTTTATAACTTATAAGTTATTAAGTATACCTACCTGGATATTTCACGAAATAATACCATTTCATATAATTAAACTTTTATCGTTAACACAATATAATATAATATTAGATTCGATTAAAACCGGTAATATATTGAGTTTACAGTATTTTCGCGTCTGAATATTTCAACAGGTATTATTTCTGAACAGCTGAGTGTAACGTCTTGAATAAAATCATCTATTTTTGTCGTTTGTATTTAGATACTTACGTGAAGACGTATCTCCGAGAAAACGACCGCTGGTTGCAGAAACGTAAGACCCGAGTGGTCCGACACAACTGTAATCCGGAATACAACCAAACACTTAGATATTCCGCATGCGATGTGTTGGGTAGGTCACTGCTGGTAATGCTTTGGGAGCGACAAAAGGGCTTTGAGCACAACCAAGGATTGGGCGGGGCCGAAGTCACGCTCGACGCTCTGAAGCTGACACAGGTCACCGAAGGATGGTATCCACTTTTCCCCATACAGAGTTTAGGATCGGACTCCAACGACTCTCCGTGACGTCATGCCATGAAATGTCGTTTGTAATTAATATCAACTCCACGGAAGCCACTACACCCACCTCCAAGCACCGGCATCTTGGGAAATGTAATTACGTATTAACATTTAACTGTGTTCTTTCGAGTTTTTATTTTTTTTTTTTACCATTTTACTATGATATATTTTCTTACCATTATGCGTTGTCCTGCAATGTACCTACTTTTCGTACCTACCTATTTAGCTCCCAAAACTCATTCTGTAATAATCATTGAACTCCTGACTACAAAATGTACGAAATATATCGTTATAGTAGATATTATATTAAAGAAACTTGCAAACCGTATGATAAAAACCAATTTTATTTATTAAACTTTGTCTAAATCGATTTCTTTATAATAATTTTACATTTTTTATTTGTATAGTTTCTAACATATTATATAAAAAAGTATTTTAGTATTTTTTTTTCAATTTTACTCAACTTTCAACATATCTATCACTAACCGAAGGGCAATCGACGTTAAAACATTGTTCAAACTACTTATACAGATAATAATATAATATTATATGTGGAATTTTGATTTAAAAAATACTAATGACATTGACATTTAATCAACTATTAGTCAATCAACTATGTAGTAAGTAATTATAATATTAATAATCGAAAATTACCTCATATTTAATTATAAATCACACACTACGCCCTATAAAAATATAAGTTTGGACGTTAAGTGATAAAATTAAAAAAAATATAATCACGATAACCTACTAGTGATAAAGCTGATTATTATACCTGTATTTATAATCTTAGAAAAATATGATACCAATTAGATGTATAAATATTTAAATAAAAAAAATCTCTTTTTATTATAGATAATGTTTCAATAGATTATTATTTAAAAGTGTACAGAATCATACCCATTAAAATATTAAAATGTAGTTGTTTCTAATATATATGTGTATTATAACATACATATTATTAGACTAGAACCAATATACTTTGTAAAAACACATAATTATTTGTACTAATAATTGAATACTTTTACTTTATAATATTATGAAGTATATAATCTGATTTAAATACTGTTTAATTTATTTGTTTTTAATCGTCTATAGTATTTTAAATTTTCTTTATTGTTCGAAAAACTATAATTTATTACATAATAATATATAAAATTACATAAATTAATTAATGATAAACATTTTATCTCGATACAATATAAAAATAATAAATCAATAATTTATGAGCTATTTGAACCATAACATAAATATGGGACCATTTATTAGGAACAAAATGGTTAGGTTAAGACACATTTAAATAGTGCTATGTATGGTTATAATAATAATTATAATCATTGAACAAAGTAACCAGAAAAATGTTATATTTATGATTCTTACTAGTTGTGATATGAACGTACTAGTGAAAAGACATGAATGTTAACGGTTAATAATGATTTAATTAATTTAATAACACATTTATACATAGCAAGTGTATATTTCGGAAATCTTAAAGTTTATATATTTATACGTATTTTTACTTGTGTACTTAATTTTTTAGTTGATATTATCATTACTTCGATTGATTTTTTTTATCTATTGGAATTGTTATGCTGTTATATAAAGAATTATTTACGTACTTTCGATAATTATTTTTTAAGTTATGTTCATAAACTTTTTACCGGTTGTATAACTGAACGTAATGTTATCTTGAAAATAATCTTATTTCTATTTGAGTTGTTAAATTAAGTTAACATTTGCCGTGTTAAAAATGTTTGTTTTCATTCCATGTGGAGTTATGAGAATATTTTACCAAAAAATATAAATTAAATTAAGTTAGGTATACTATATTATAGTGACACGATGTAAAATAAGTCGTACATTTATTGACTGTCTAGTAAAACGATTTTATTGAGACAATCTCATATACATACGTAATTATTATTGATACAATATTTAGAATGATAAAATATATCCATATAATAGATATTATACAAATTATGATTGTAATGTAACTTTGAAAATCACAACATTAATATTGTATAAATCTCTGACGTAGATTTTTAGTACCTATACGTACTTAAGTGTTTTATATTGTTATATGCATTTAGAGTCAATACGATTTTCGATATTATATGAGCATTATAATAATATTAATATGGCGCTTTGACACGGTGGAAAAACACGTTATTAATTTCGGCCGGAAATTACCCTACAGGATATTATAACCACTGACTTATTAAGTAAGCATTATTGTTCATTAATATTGTTTCAGTCGATCTGCTGTGTTTAGCCGCCATTATATTATAATAATGATCAGATAACAATAATATTACTACTCAAATATAATATAGGTAATCATAATATTATTATATACATAGCTCGAGTACGGTTTTGTTTTTATTGTATAAATGTTTTAAGAAAAAAAAAATCGTGATTCCCACTTGTTAACACCGGTCTTAGTTCCATTTACCAAACAAATAATTTGTATTTTTAGTTGTGTTTCGAAAGTTACCATTCGATTATATTTATGTCACTGTTTTGAATATGTTCGTTATTCAATAGTGACATTTTTTTTATCATTATTATTTGACTTTTTAATGTTTATTATGTTTTGATATTTTGTTAAATAGATTTGTTTATATTACTGTATAATTAAATTCATGACAATCTTTATTCGAAACTATTGAATCGCATGTAGGAACTAAAAAATGATATCGGACCCAAGATACTATATAATATATTTATTTAAAATTATGTATAATAGCGTAAATGTTAGCTGCTAGAAAAAAACAAATATTTATCAATTATAATAAACATGTTTAAAACAATAATGTTGTTCATGTTATTATCACGATATATAAAATTATTTAACGTATTTCCTGTTTCATAGATAAATAAAATGATAAAATATGGTTATCAATATTTTACTTATACTATAATAAAAAAAATCAAATTTGTTTATATGTATGGGTCAGGGGGTAATCTCTGTAATTACTGAAACTATTCTAAAAATGCATTCACTAATACAAAGCAACACTATCCTTGAATAACATAGTTACTCATAGTTAGTCAACCGGAATTCAACCGCAAAATGTTGATTCATACATGTATCTTGTTTTGGTTAACGAAGATCGAATATTTTAACATAAATTTGTATTTGGTCTGGGTACAGACATGATATAAAAATGGGTACAGATATTTTGTTATTCTAACCAATTTCGCAAAACAGACGTTTTCGTTGTCATGGTTTCTTAATAACAATAACATATTACATATTTATAATTCATAGATTTTCCTTGCAGAGAAATGATATCGAATACCTAGCGTGTTTTTGTTTATAACATATAAATAGTTGATATTGGTCATAGCAAATAAAATAGTTTTTATGAATGATACTTACTTTTTTTTTATGGAAACTTGATTAAATATAGGAGGTGGGTATTTTATTTGAAAAATCTTGCTTTTTCACAGTAAAATATTAGTTACCTGTTCCAGGGTATCCACGCCCAAACATGTGTACGTTCAGAGTGCACAATATTTACTATAGCAACGTGACAAAATCCATCGTTTACCGCAAAACTTTGAAAATTTATTTTTTAGCAATTATTGGTGATATCATTTTTTTTTTTAAATTTACATCGCGTTTCAGAAATTCAAAGTTCTCAAATTGTATACGTGGTTATTGTTAACTTTAATATTACATGATACATATGGCTGTTTGTTTGTTTGTTTATTCGGGAAAGGTTTTAGCAACGGATAAACCTATTTCGATTGTATTTTACAGATATTGTATTATATATTAAAAAAAAACGGAAAATTTAAGAGGTTAGTGGATAAAGGTGTTAACTATAACACTTTTTTCAAAATCGTTTTTATTACATAAAATGAAAATAACTTATATTTATGGAGATATCAAATTGATAAAAGTGTTATTTATACAATTTGTCGTTCTTATTTCGTGAATTAAGGTGTTATTGTATTAATCCCCTATTATTTTGTTAACAGATAACATTTATAATTAAATTTATAAAATTTCAGAGTATTGTTCATGACTTAAAAATACATGGTTTTTGTTTTCAACAATTTCTTAGCATTTGAATAGTTAAAAAGTTACAAAGGTTTATATAATCAAACTACTAAAACTGTCCTTCTGAATAATTTCAAAATTGTTAGTTAACACCTTCATCCACTAACCCCTCCAATTCTAAGATGGATTAATTTTAACTTGACCGATTTCGATAAAAATCTCAGAGATGGTTCTTAGATATATCATAAAAGTTTGTAGTAGGTATCAAACTTCAAGCTTAAACTTGGTTCTAAAATATACCGTGTGCTATATGGCCTAAATATATTACATATGTATATAAAATGCAACACAGGCGGATTACCCATCTCGGTCGGAATAGTTCTCAAAGCGAATTACACCGACGCCGTTTTGCACGGGAACTGAATTAGGTACAAAGCTACACCGTTAAAGCATTGTATCTTAAATTCGTTAATTTTTTTACGGGTGAAGTCGTGTTATACAGCTGCTATTTATCATACATTTATACGTATTTAATATTCAAATTTGATGCAACAAAAATGTTCCATAACCATAGGGAAAATGTAAAACAAAAGGTAATAATTAAAAAGGTGCTCTGCTGTACAGTAGGTTACAAGTGGGTCACTGTATGGTCTTAAATTTTAATTCAATGATATAATATCATTGTATAAGAAAAACGATTCTGATCGGAGACGGTATGTCAGTCTAGGTATATGACATATTATATACTTCTCTATGGTATTAAAAAAAAATTGACCTATAATAAATTCTAAATTAATCATATTACAATAGCCATTAGGTACTTATAACGCGTTATACATCAACAACAAACCCTGATACTATCATAGATATATATTAGTGTACTTTAGAAGTTTCAAGTACCGACGAATAATATTAACTACATACGTGGAATTTTGTTTTAAAATTTCAATCCTTAGATATGAAAGTTGAACATTTTATAAATTTTTAACTACAAAAT